CCCATCCAGCATAGAGAGAAAAAAATCGAAATCTCAAAAATTTTCACAAACTAAACATCAGAAAAAAATGTCGACTGGGTCAATCAAAATGTTTCATTTAAATTTCAACTATTTAAAATGTGGGTTTTTTAGTATAATTAGCTTACATCTCTAAATGTAGAGTCACTTTCAAACAGAGAAACTGGAATGTTTTCTTTAGAAAATATCAAAATGAAACATTTCAACAATTTCAAAACTTTTTTTTCTGAGTGGAAAATATTGTCAAAACTGCCCCTTTCCCTGGGAAAGTTTCGGTTTCAACAAATTGGCATTTCCAACAAGAAACATTCCATGGAATGGTTCCTGACCCACTCTCCCCAGTCACTGATGTCCTGGGGCCAAACACCGTGCCTACCATTGGCTTCTCTTTATTTCATCCCTCCCAAAGGACGCAGCGTCCGGGTCAGTGACGCCATCGTGGGTAAATTCGAGCAGCGCATCACAGAGATGAACATGAGCGAGGACTTCACCTACTACTTCCCCACGTATGGTGAGTCCTGGCTGTCCCACTGTTCCTTCTAATTTTTATATCCATGTGTGGAATGAATTTTATTATGTGCACTGATATGGAGGTGATGTGTGGCGGGGGGGGCGGGGGCAGGGAGTTCGGAGTGTGGGAGGGGACTCAGGGATGGGGCAGAGGATTGGGGTACAGGGGGGGTGAGGGCTCTGGCTGGGGGTGAGGGCTCTGGCTGGGGGTGTGGGCTCTGGGGTGGGGCCAGGGATGAGGGGTTTGGGTTGTGGGATGCCCTGGGACTGCGACGGGGAGATTGGACTCCCCCCAGCCCTTTCTTGCCACAGCAGCCTGGGGCTGGGATAGAGGGTCTCTCCCCGCCACGGCAGATCGAGGGACGTGATCATTCCCCTCTATTCGGCATTGGTAAGGCTAAATCTGGAGTATTGCGTCCAGTTTTGGGCCCCACACTACAGAAAGGATGTGGACAAATTGGAGAGAGTCCAGCAGAGGGCAACAAAAATGATTAGGGGGCTGGAGCACATGACTTATGAGGAGAGGCTGAGGGAACTGGGATTGTTTTAGTCTGCAGAAGAGAAGAGTGAGGGGGGATTTGATAGCAGCCTTCAACTACCTGAAAGGGGGTTCCAAAGAGGATGGAGCTCGGTTGTTCTCAGTGGTAGCAGATGACAGAACAAAGGAGTAATGGTCTCAAGTTGCAGTGGGGGAGGTCTAGATTGGATATTAGGAAAAACATTTTCACTAGGAGGGTGGTGAAGCACTGGAATGGGTTACCTAGGGATGTGGTGGAATCTCCTTCCTTAGAGGTTTTTAAGGTCAGGCTTGACAAAGCCCTGGCTGGGATGATTTAGTTGGGGATTGGTCCTGCTTTGAGCAGGGGGTTGGACTAGATGACTCCTGAGGTCCCTTCCAACCCTGATATTCTATGATTCTATGTGCCCTTTGTTGCAGGGTTCTGTGAGTCCGCGGATCAATTTCATCTGCTCGATGGTGAGTTGCAACCCCCCAAGGCCCGTTGCTGCTCTGCTCACCCCGTCCGGCAGGGCAAGTGCCCCCCGTGCTCCCCATCAGCCTGCAAGGCCTAGTGGGTGGGATGGTATTGTGCAGCCCCAGCTCAGCAGGGAGAGGGAGTGGGGAGAGGGCAAAGGGAAGGAAGTGGAAAAGTCTCCTTTCCATCATCTAATGTCAGCCTCAGGCAGCTCCCCCATGGACCACACACTGCTGTCTGAGTGGACTCCCTGGGGTGAGAGGATGGGGTCAGATGGGGGGGGCTCTCTGGGATGGGAGGATGGGGGGCTCTCTGGGGTGGGGTCAGATATGGGGGCTCTCAAGGGATGGGGGAACAGGGGCAGTTGTGAGAGAGGCTCCCTGAGGCCTAGAGGACAGGGTCAGATTAGGATGGGCTCTCTGGGGTGGGGGGATGGGAGTAGATATGGGGCTGTCAGGGGCATGGGGGACAGGGTCAGATGGGGGGTGTGATGGGATCCCCGGGGTGTAGCCTGGGACTGTGGGACTACTGTGCCCCCTTAACTTTCTCCAGCCCGGGCGGTCTCTCACAATGCTTTGCTAGTGACAAGCAGCAAACCCCTCCAAGTGCTGTTATCACTCAGCACAACCGCATGTGAAGCCGCACACCCAGCTCTATTGCATGAATGCTTCCAGAGCCACTCATGAATCACACAGAGAAAGGCACCAATCAGATCCCCCCAGCTCCCAGCCTTGTGCCATGAGAATGTACCGTCTTGCACTGCTCAAGACAAGCAGTGCAATTTTATTAATTGGTTCACCACTTCATCAGTGGAAAGTGGATATACACGAGTCTTTGTAAACCTGAGCAAACACCCTTACCAAACACTTCAGGCAAACTTACTGGTAAAGATAAACAGTTAAACACATTTATTGACTACAAAAGATAGATTTTAAGTGATTATAAGTGATAGATGAAAAGTCAGAGTTAGTTACCAAAGGAAAAGAAAATATAAGCACACGCAGTCTAAACTCTTAACCCGATTAGACTGGGCAACATCTAGATTAAGCAGTTTTTTCTCAGCCCACTGGATATTGCTGTCCTTAATACACAGGTTTGTCCCTTAAACCTGGGCCAGTCTCCTCTGTTGGAGTCTTCAGTCTTCGGAGTGTCCTTGTTGCTTGCAGCATAAGTTGGGGGCAGGAGAAAGACCCAGCAGTGGGCCCCTGTGTTCTGTTTTATACTCTTAGCCCATGTGTTTGGAGAACACAAGTTCAGGCATGTCTGGTGGGTGTTGCTGAGTCACAAGGTGAAGCAATACCCCTGTGAGTGAGTCATTGCATTGTAACTCCTCTGCAGGACAATGGTAATGTGTTTTCAGCACCCACCCAGGCACTGGTTACCTCTTCCCGTGTCATTGTCTCTGGAGATCTCGTATCTGGGCGCTTCCCAAACCCACAGCATGTTTTAGTGAAAACCATACAACACAATTCATATAATTTCATATGCATTGATTATATACAGATTGAGATAGAACAATGGCTTTCAGCTGATAGGCATGCTTTATATGCAAGATCACAATTATGTATAAATGAGGAATATGGGGGTTAGAGGACTCTCCCCCCAAGCAGGGCCGTCCTTAGGCATACGCAGCATACACGGCTACATAGGGCATCCGAAAATCTGGGGCACCATTCCCCGCGCTGGCAGCGGCTGGAATCCTCTCTTCTCCAGCCCCTCCCCTGCGCCGGGCCGGTGGGCTTCTCCCCGCCCCCAACCCTGCCCCCTCCCTCACTCGCTCCTCAGCCGGCTCTGGTGCCCCAGTCCTGGGGAGCCCAGAGCAGCCCGGCCGGTCACTGGCGGCGCCCTGGCCTGGCCCACCGCCACCCAGAGCGGAGTCCCTCCCTGGACCCTGCCTGCCTGAGCAGCTCGGTCTCCGGCGGGGCCGGGACAGGGCCAGGACAGGAGGAGTCAGCAGGCAGCTGGGCTGAACGGGGGTGGGGTGACTTAAAGTGACAGTGCGCTCACTGTCTCTCACACTTCCCTAACACACACACACACACACACACACACACACACACACACACATACTGTCTCTCTCACACACAGGCTGGCTCTCACACCCACATACATTCTGCCTCTCACGAGTCACAGTTCCCCAGTACAGATTGTCACACATACACGCAGTCTCACACTCCCCAACACACTGTCGCACAATCCCTCAACACACAGTCACATACACACACTGGCTCTCTCTCTCATACACACACACACACACTTGTATTATTGTTGTTGTTATTACTGCTTGGTACTTCCTGGCCAATGCTCGTGGTGAGCCAGGAGTGGCTGGGGCTGCAGGAGGGCCCTGGGCTCTGGCAAGATGCAGCCCCCATGTGACAGCGCGAAGCCAGCCTTGAGCCACTGCCGCAGTGGCTGCTGCGTACGAAGCTTCGTGTGTGTCAGCAATGGGGGGTTCTGGGGGTCCGCAGGCGGGGGTGGTGGCTGTGCCCCCTCGACACATTGGGGTCAGCGGCGCTGGCTGGGGACCGTCTTCAGTGGAGCATAGGGGCACTAGTTTAATAATACTGCATAGGGCCCCATAAATCCTAAGGGCGGCTCTGCCTCCAAGGTATAGACTGTCACGGGGGGCTCCCTGGGGCATGGGGGACAGGGTCAGATGGGATGGGGCTCCTTGGGGTATGGGGTCAGATGGGCTGGGGGCTCCCTGGGGCATGGGGGACAGGATCACGTGGGCTGTGGGCAGGAATGGGGTCTGGTCCAGGGCAGTGGCCCAATACCCATCTCATTAATGTTTTGGGATAAGGCGGTGTTCCTCCAGTCCCGGTCATTGGCTCTGAAGGTCGTCCCTTATCTCGTCCGAGGAAAGCTGACTGAATGGCAGCGGGTGGCGGCTGCGGCCCTTGGCAGTGCCCAGGTGGTGCCCCTCCCCTCAGCCCCTCTCTATCTGCTTTTCAGAAACGAAGATTTAGGTGAAGATGGAAATGCCAGAGACCCCGGGAGCCAACCAGCCACGTCTGCAACCATGCTGGGCACAGGAGCCTGGCCACTGGATCTGCCAGTGAACTCTGTGGCCCAGTTATTCAGCCAGGGCTGGGGAGCTCCAGGTGGACGCTGGGCCAAGGGAGTGATGAAGGGGTGGGACTGGGGTCTCCTCTGTAGCCCTAACCCTAGTGTTTGTTCACCCCCAGCCCTTGCTCCCCCTCACTCCCCAGGCTCATGTCTCTTCCACACGATATCACCACACAAAGGCAGATTCAGGTTTTGTGGGGCTCTGCACCAGACCAGTGGGGCCTGCTCCCCACCCCTTCCTCCTGCAGTCCCCCCCAACCCCCTCTGTGCTTCTGCCGGAGAGCGGGCTTGGGGAGCAGGGGCTTCCCCCCACTTCCTGGCAGGAGCGCCGAGTGGGCAGAGTGGGTTGGGGCACAGGGGCGCCCGAATTGGCCGGGGCCCCGTTGGCCCAGTGGCTAATCCATCAATGCCCCTGTGCCCTCCTGCGGGATCCCTGGCCCAGCTGCCGCTCACTGCTACTGCCCCGCTCCCCTGACCTGATTCGGCGCTCACTCTCCTTGCTGTCCCCAGAGGGGCTGTGCGTCCCCATGAGGAAGCCCTGCTCTTCTGACACTGACGCAGCATGGCCTTCAACCCTTCGCTTCCGCCTCCTGTGCGCTGCCCCTTTCAATTGCTCAGGGCCTGGCTGGGCCGTTGTGCTGGGCTCAGTCTGACTGGCATGGAGCAGATGCCCAGCTTACGCTCTCTCTCTGGACTCCACAATAAACGCGGGCCAGGCTGGAAGGCCCCTGTGCTCCTTGCAGATGGGAAAAGGATACAAGTGTGACAGGCGGGTCGGGAAGGGGGAACCCCCCTCCCAGGGCCCCACACGGTTCCAGTCTCTGTGGTGAGCGGTTATTCCTGCTGCCCCGGCAGCGCATTCCTTGCAGGAGTGTTGCGCCAGTCCATGTCATTCACCCGGTGTCTGCAGTCCTTCAACAACCCGGTTTGCCCCCTGCAGGACTGGCAACTCCATTGCCCCTTGCCCCG